CAGCAAGATGTTTATACTCTTCACAAGCCCGCGCGTAGACATTACAAAAGAAGTCGAGTCATCGTTCCCGGTATTGATACACAATTTCAAGCAGATCTGGTCGACGTTCAAAATCTCAGCCGATACAACAAGGGATATAAATACCTACTGACGTGTACAGACATCTTTAGCAAGTACGCTTGGGTGGTGCCTTTAAAGACAAAACAAGGCCAAGAACTAGTCAAAGCTTTTCAGATGATTCTATCTTCTGGTCGTAAACCAAACAAGCTTCAAACGGATCAGGGAACAGAGTTTCTAAGTCGCGTGTTCCAGAAATTGCTGCGTGACAACAACATTGACTTTTTTACTGTTAACTCTGGGCTCAAAGCCTCAGTGGTTGAGCGTTTTAACCGAACATTTAAGAATAAGATGTATAAATATTTCACGGCCAAAAACACTCTCACCTATATCAATGTATTACCCCAGTTAGTATCTTCTTACAATAACACCTACCACCGAAGTATTAAAATGAAACCGAGCCAGGTGACTAAAGCGAATGAAGCTCAAGTATGGGATACTTTGTATGGTAATGACGTTGAAAAGCGTGTGCGTTTTAAATTTCAAGTGGGAGATCGCGTCAGGATCAGCAAAGTGAAGCGAATGTTTGAAAAATCGTACCTGCCAAATTTCACGGAAGAAATTTTTACTGTTTACAAGCGAATGGCTCGTCAAGTACCCGTTTATAAACTAAAAGATGATGCAGGAGAAATCTTAGATGGAACATTTTATGAGCCTGAATTGCAGAAAATTATTAAGAACGATGATGTGTACCGCGTCGAGAAGATTTTGAGGAAGAGAAAGCGTAAAGGAATAGTTGAATACTTTGTAAAATGGAAAGGGTACCCAGACAAGTTTAATAGCTGGATAGCAGAAAGTAATATCTCAAAGTTGTAACATTTTGTGTGAAGCCAATAAAAGGGTTATTTTAACTGAAAACAATTGTTGTTGTGTATGGTTATAAATTAAGAACGCCAGGAATAAATGTTCATTTCAACACAGGGTACGATGGAGGTAAAACAGTTTTATCTGCATCTTCCCAGCAATAGCAGCCTCGATAAGTTTCCCAGCAACACATTAACGGAGTACCAAGTTGGTTTACCTCAGACCGTTAGCTTGACGGGGAACTGGGAAGTAGCATTAACGGAAATTCACTATCCTCACAGCTGGAATAATGTCCAAGAAAATTTTGGTAATCGATTCTACCTTCGGAACCAAGAATTGTCCGGAGTATGGGAAGCCCTAATTGTACCGCCAGGTCATTATTCTTCCATTGGAGATATCTTATCAAAGATGAAAGAGCTGATCGAGAATGTAAAGCGTTTCAATGACGACGTGACATTTTCTTACGATGCGTTCACTAGAAAGGTGACTGTTCACCTACAAAATAACGTAGAACTTTTCTTTGGTAACATTGGATACCTGCTGGGATTTTCACCAGAAGAAATTATTTCTAATACCTCTACCGCTGAAAGACAAGTGGATTTGGAATACGGCTTTCACGACCTTTTCATTTACTGTGATCTTATTTAGTCACAGTATGTTGGAGATGCATTGGTACCTTTGCTTCGAATTGTTCCTGTAGAAGGAAAGGTTGGAGAGCGAGTCAGTAAATCATTTTTGCCTCCCCAATATTTACCTGTCAGCAGAAAGCAATTTGAAACTGTCGAAGTCAATATAAAGACAGACACAGGGGAGTCTGTACCATTTGAGTTTGGGAGAGTGTTGTTAACACTTCATTTTCGTCAAAGTGCACCTCAGTACTTTTAAAGATGAAAAAACTCCACACTCCAAATCACAAGTTGTACGAACAGTACTATGTAGATCAAGCCAGGCAAAAAGGTGGAAATTTACCCGCATTTCACGGTGCTCGATTTCAGCGGGGTTATGGACTAGGGTCCATATTCAGAGGCCTGTTTCGCTGGGCGATGCCTCACCTTCAACAGGGTGCTAAGGTGATTGGAAAAAAGGCTTTACAAACAGGAGTCAATGTTGTCCAAGATGTTCTTGACGGAGATAACATTAAAACAGCAGTCCACAAGCGCACGAAACAAGCCCTCGGTTTACCTTCCCAGAATTCATTGCAGGGACAATCAGGAGCTGGCAAAAAATCTATAAAAAGAAAAGCGCAAGGCTCAACAATCAGTTCGCCTCCGGGCAAGAAAGCAAAAACACCTCCACAGCAGAAGAAATCGAAAACCATTTTTGACAAAGAATAGAATGGCCTTTGTGCATCACGAGTCTCAGGAATGTACGAAATCAGAGTTGGATCTCTTTACGATTCCTGCAACACAAACCTCTATTCACAAAGGGCAATGGATCGAGTACCACCCCATCAGTAACATCACGGACAGTGGTCCGATCGAATTTTATGTTTCGGGAACCGGAGATGACTATTTGGACTTGGCGCGTACTCAGTTATTTGTGAAAGCCAAGATCACAAAAGCAAATGGAACCGCCATAGATGCCGATACACAAGTAGGTCCCGTGAACCTGTTTTTACATTCCCTTTTTTCGCAAGTGGACGTTTCCTTGAACGAGCGATTGATCTCTCCATCCACCAATACCTACCCTTATCGCGCCATGATCGAAACCTTGCTAAACTACGGAGAAGAAGCAAAAACAAGTCAACTTTCTATGACCTTGTTTTACAAAGATACCCCTGGAAAAATGGATGTTGCCAACCCTGTGGCTGCAGACGATGCCGCAAACAAGGGGTTAAAGGTTCGCTATGATTTCACTAAAGAAAGTCATATTGTGGATATGATGGGGCCCATTCATAGCGACATTTTCTTTCAAGACCGGTTGATGGTAAATGGAGTGAATTTAAGAATCAAACTGAACCGAGCCAAGAACTCGTTTTGTCTGATGTCATCAGCAGCCGCTCCAACTTTCAAGGTGGTAATCACAGAAGCCATCTTGTTCGTTCGCAAGGTGAAATTGGCCTCTTCTATTATACTTGGCCATGCTGCTGCACTAAAACACTCCAGCGCCAAGTACCCGGTTCGCCGAATAGATTGTAAAGTGCTGTCTATTCCCAGAGGATTTAGCAGTTTTAACCCCGACAACATCTTTTTGGGTCACATCCCCAAACGAATCGTGCTGGTCTTAGTGGATACTCAGGCATATAATGGAACTTACAGTACCAACCCGTTCAACTTCAAACACCCCAATCTAACTCAAGTGGGTGTCTATGTGGACGGAGAGCAAATTCCTCGGAAACCCCTGTTCTTGAATTTTGACGAAGCTGGAGGTCAAAATGTAATAGCGGGCTATCAAAGTCTGTTCTCAGGTACTGGGAAGCTATCCCAAGATGCGGGTAATCAGATCAGTAGAAAGGATTATGGCTCTGGTTACACAGCATTTTGCTTTGACTTGTCCCCAGACCACTGCTCAGGTGACCATTTTGAGCTAATAAAGCAAGGTAACCTGCGCGCTGAGCTTCATTTCAAGGAACCACTGGCCAATACGGTTAACCTTATCGTGTACGCTGAATTCCAAAACGTGATTGAAATTGACGGAAACCGCAACGTGCTGTTCGACTACACAAACTAAAAATGGACACTACTCAACTGACCCTTATTTTGAGAAAAGATAAATTTACACGAGGTGTGTTTCAAGGCGTGTATCCCTCAGACCTGCTTCCTGCAAGTGTTTCACATTACCCAGCCCTGTTTATCGCCAATGTGGACACGAGTGACAAGCCAGGTTCGCATTGGGTGGCGTTTCATTTCACCAAGGAGCAAGAGGGAGAATTTTTCGATTCTTACGGATCACCACCCAGCAAATACTCAGGAACATTTACTACCTTTTTAAACAACAATTCTAACCAGTGGACTTTTAATACTGTGACATTACAAAGCATCTATTCAAAAGTCTGCGGACATTACTGTTTGTATTTTGCTTTATATCGTAGTCGGCAAATAAGTATGAGTACAATTGTGCATCGTTTTTCTAATAACACGCGTAAAAATGATAGTCTTGTCAAGCAATTTATTGAAAAACATTTCCCTATAAGTCTTCCGAAATATCGCACTGATGTAAACAAGCAAAGAGCACAAGCCCAGCACAAAGTTAAATAAATAAACACCTTGTAATTTTTTTCAACATCTTTTATTGAGTGAACAAAATAAAGAGATGATTTACAATAAAAATAATAATAATAATGTCTCTTGTGGTGATTTTATAACCGTAACCAGCGCACAGCCTCAGGGCGCGGACTCTCATTTCTTCGCCGCTGTTTTTTCACGGGGGATACCGTCACAGGTGGGCTAGGTAGCCAACGGGAAGGACTGTTAGGAGTTTCGTCTCTCACCCTTGCTTTAAATTCTCGAACAGCATTTTGCCTCTGTGGATTACGCACTAGATTTTTCGGGACATTCATTCGGGCCAGACCCTCGCAAACACCGACCATCCCACTGGTTCAAATCCTTTGCGGTGGCGCAATGTGTCGTTGACTAGGTCCACCAGATGAGAACCTGGAATGGGTTTGGTTTCATACAAAAGCTCTCCTTTATCATTCCAATGCAAGACATCTTGATGCTCTTTAATTTTATCCAACAATTGTCTAGCCCCGGCTTTGTAAATTTTGGGTACACTTTTCATGACCTCTGCCTCTACGGCTGATGAAGTGAATTTTTCCGGGACAGGTTCTTCCGAAGGTTGTTCATTTTCTTCTGGTTTAGGTGTTTCTACTGCTTGGGGGGTTGATATTTTCACATGAAGAGGTTGACCTTTTCGCTGATCGTAATAAGTCAAATACCGCTGCAACACTTGATTGTAAAGCCCGGCTTTTTGTTCATCATCAAGTGATACTGGATAAAATATCGGTCATTTCACTATCCAAGTTTCTCAGAGTTTGTGTGACGGGTGGGGTTAGTATCTGCTGGCGTTGTTGTAATCTTTCCAAGGTGTTCTCGGGCACGAGAACCATACGCTTTGTGTGATTCATTTTAGGTAAGAATCGAACTTAACACACGGAGAACGGGAGGTAGCAAAACACTTAAAACATTTCCTCCGTGTTGTACCAACAATTTCTTTTTCTTATCGAGTGGTGTACTTTTTTCGGCTAAAGCGATCAAAGATTTCTTGTGAGGCAAAAGCTTCTTCTTGGCTGGCTTACTGACTGGTACTGTTCCTTTAAGCACGTTTAAAACACACTCACAAATGGTTCTTACTAAAGCGTCGTCTGCCACCTTCAAAATGGCTTTACGCTGAGCTGGGGTACACTTGACAAGCAGCTTCAGAAAATTGTGGTTCTTTCTCAGTCGCTGTGCCATCCTCAACTGAAGAAATGTGATGTGGTTCACGCTTTTTATACTTTTCTGACGTAAGCGTACTGAGTCTCCCCGGGGAAAATATTCCTACGCAGCCGGAAGTCGGTGGGTGTTTCCGGTTTAAGATCGCAAAATAAATAACCATAGGGCCTTTTCGTTGCATCCTCAAACGCTTCTTGCATGTATTTGACAAGACCGGGAAACATTTGTCTTGCTAAATGATTGACTTGACTACTATCACGCGGGCTTTTGAACACCACTAGGTAATGCGAATTCAAGCTCATATCTCTCAGTTCTTTTCCACGATGAAACATGTTTTGGAGAATAAAGATCACGCTGAGATTGCGATGGTGACAACCTTTGGTAAACAAATTAGTCATTCGCTGATCATTGCTAAGCTCGTGCATTAAGTCATCAATGACGACTAAATTCCGCATAGAGGGATTAATTAGGGTTTCCAGATCACCAGGCACTCCTTCAACAAACGTAATGTTCGGAATAGTTTTAAGCATTTCATCGTAAGCCGGTTGGTATATCCCATAACACCAAATGATATTTTCAGGAGCTCCGTCTATTAATTCTTCTCCAGATTCCAACAAGTGTTTGACAAACTGACTTTTTCCACAACAAGTGGGGCCAGCTACAATAGCAGGAAAGGGGTGTTTCCACCTTGGATCCATGTTGACAACTGACTGGTTCAACTGCGTTTGCTCTTATTTATAGAGAAATGGTCTTTGGTGGAGTATGTTTATCATATACACGAACCATGGTGGTATTTTGTAATTTAGCAAACTGGAGCCAATATTTTCTCTCTAAGTCAGACAGCTCGTGGACTTGAGTTAAATGATTTGCTAATCGAACTAAAAATTTAGAATAACATCCCGGTATGGGGCAGTGTTTACATTTTAGTTTCTTCATGCTGACAGGACGAACGTTAGATACCAACTGAGTAAAACTATTTGCGACACGAAATTTATTGTTGATTTTCAAGGGCAGATCGGGCAGAAAGGGCAGAAAGGGCAGAAAGGGCACCTTTTTAGCCCTGTGTTTTTTTTCCCTGGGCGCGCGTGGAGATCTCGCGTGTAAGCCGTGCGCGTCGAGTCAGGAAACAAGTCATTTTTTTTTTTCAGCCAACTTAGTTTTATTTACAAGTCACACACTACAATGTTTGGAAACTCTTTGTGAGTAATGAAATTCTATACAAATTTTCAGTTCCAAGAACAAAACTAATCTATGTACAAGAAATTATTTACAAAGTAGCGTTAAATGTCTAATGGAATGGTGGTTCCCCCATCGTCCAATACTTTTCTTTTGGGGTAAAAGTACGAAAAACCATCACGAACTTGTTCGTATGTATACATACTGTTATTAACTACACGGAAACCCTTGTTAAGTCCTGAACTGCTTTGTTTGGTCAGTAGAACATTAAGATATTTTTCTTTATTGATATCATTACATGTTTTGTTTACTCCTTTGCAACTAAACTTATCGTAGGAACCAAAGCAATAATAGGTTTTACTACTGAGACCGATTATTCCTTCCCCTGACCATTCTTCTTTGAAAAGACCGGGTGTTCGCTTATCATATGCTTTGTTCTCTGGTGTATCGGTTCTGGGGAACCAGTTAAACTTATCCTTTTGAAATTCTGCCCTTAACTCAGGTTTGACTAAACTATCAACTGATGGACCCGCGATCGCGATATAGGCAGAGTCTGTATCCATTTCACAATACTGAAAATCACTACGATCTAAATACTTCTCAAGAAAATCAAAATAGAACTGAAGCATTCTGAGTTTCGCATACTGATAAACAAAAAATCCGATTTGCATGGGTAGATTCAACTTGACTGTTTTCTTGCAAGACTGCACTTCATAAGTGTTATCTTCGATCCGGTCAATCTGTCTGAAGAAGGGTGTGTTGATAAGCCGTGAGGCCTTTGTTTCTTCGCAGAACTTAACCTCTCTGTGGCGTTCTTGGTCCGTGATCGTCTTCCCGTAACTGGAATTCCCGACCTAATAAATAATGTATCAGAACATTAATAAGGTTTGCATAAGGAAAAAAGTGGCAAAATGCTTGTACAAATGAAATCATACTTACTAATTTCATTGTATCTGCGATGATGGCTTTGTTCGGGTCCACATCCCCAGCACGCCTGGCATCGGAGACAGCTTCTCCAAAGGGCTGGAAACAAGGAACGGGTGTGTACTCGACCACTTGGTAAATCCTTGTGACTTCTAACCCGTGCTCCAAGTACCATTTAATGAGCGGTGTGGCCAACAAGATCTTTTCTCCAAAATAGCTACCTATTAGACTTCTACGAGGTTGAGGCATGATATGTTGCTCCTCGGCAAAGGTTTGCATGTATTCACCAATATCTTCTTTACAAATCTGCGTATTTTTGAAGATTGGACACATTTCGGAGAACTTGGGTTTCAGATGGTCAGGTACTGTGATGTCACACTCGACAACACCAAAGAGAGACTCGTCTCTGATAGCTTTTATAATCTGATTTTGATCCAGGGTCTGGAGGTGGTCAAGGGGTCGGTGAAACTTTCTGTTCGTGAAATATTGTACTGCAGAGTTAGTTTTTTTCATTCGGCGCCACTGGCACTCCCACATCTCCACGAGATTGTAGCCTTGATCTCTGATATACTTTGAATTTGCTGTAGTTTCTTCCCTGAGCTCAGCCATTGGTTACTTTCTTTTTTCGTTCATTTCCTTTCCTTTAGTTAGGTAGCAGTTATGCCCATGCCACCAACAGCCGTGGAACTGGAAAACTGTTTGTGAAGGACCATGAAAACCATCCACTGGGAGCCTTCTTTCACCTATGCGTTTTTCCGTGTCGTTCATCTGGTGACGTATGCGAACTCCCATTTCCTCAGGTTTCCATTCCAACCACTCGGTGGCCATCTTGGTGGAGCTTTCTTTTTTGAAGTTGGTTTCTTCGCTTCGTCTCGTAAAAGATCCGGTGGGCATGTTTTGCATGATGGCCCAGAGCGCGTTGGCGTCATATCCTACTATTTTCTGGCACATTTTTGGTTCTTTGCCTTGATCTGTTATCTCTCTCTCTCTCTGATCTTGGTCTTGTCTTTTTCATGATATCGGTGGAAGATGATGCTGGGGCCTCCTACCATATTTTTCTTGAACAAGGTGTATAAATCTTTATTTTTCTCGTCAAAGAGAGAAAAGAAAATGCCAGGTTCCAGGGTTGTAAACAGATAAGTCAAGGTGACACCGGGGATAGAGATTCCTTGTCGCAGCATGTCAATGTTCTTGTCTTTCCAAAAGGCGCACATCTTTTCAAGGGCATCGCAGAAGGGTTGGACGTCAAGGTTGTTATACCAGATCAGAAAATCTTTAAATGTCTGCATGTTGTTGTCAGACCACACTTGTTGGCAGTACTGGTACTCTTGCTCTGTGATGTTTTCGTTTTTCAGTGTAGAGAAGAAGGCGTCGTGAGGAGGAAGAGAAGGGTGGTCTAACTTGTCAAGCGAATCCATCCATTCGTATGGGAAGAAACCTTTGGTTTGCGGACATTCGTACGCTTTCAGGAATTTGGCATAGCTGAACCCAGGAGCAAGAAAGTTGGTGACATCGAGAAAGCGAAGGTGGTCGGTCTTCAGGCACATGAAATTGTTGTTACGTTTTATGGTGAACTGTACTTCCTCATTCTGGACCAGGACAGGGAAGAGAAATTCTTTCACAGCATTCAAATCATATTTTCCAGAATTGAAACCAAGAACCGGGAGTTCTTCCAGGTATTCCTCGAATCTCTCTCTCAGCTTCTTTAAGGGGTGGACTTTTTTCTTCTGAGGTTCAGGGTGGTTCGCTTCTGGTTTATCGTCCACATACTCTTCATCGTCACTCTGGTTCTCGCGTTCGCGATCTAAAGCTCGGTAAAACGAGGCACCTTGCTCACTTTCCACTTCATCATCCAGGAAGGCACGATCTTCTTCTGTCTCAGATTCTATGTCTTCTTCTTCATCATCGGTCTCCATAAGATCTTCTCCTTCATCATCGCTATCTTCTTGGACGCTAACGTCTGTACCACTCTCTCCGGTCTGTTGTTCTGACTTTTGTTTTATTTCTTCTAGCTTTTGGTCTATCGCTTCAAATAGGAATGAAAACTCTTGCTTCATCAGGTCGGAGCTCTTTTGACTGATTTCCACTAGGTAGTCTATCATCTCTTTGACGAGGTGTTTGGAGTCCCCAGTTGACACAAAACACTTGGGGTGGTCGTAGTCTGGGACATTAGAGCAGACACTGACACTTAGAGGGATATGCTTGGCGTTCCAGGTGAGTTTTTCGGTGTTATTTAGGCCAGTCTGACGATTAAACATGCATTCGAAGTCAAAGGTGGCTCTGTATGGAAAGTTCTTTAAATGTGGTGGAATGGTGAAGCCTTCATCTTCGAGCAGCTCAAAGATGGTGGGTGGCGTCTTGTACGCACCGCCAGGGAACGTGTAATGGACTTTAGCCTCGCAGGTTCTCTCGTGACGATGTAACATACCCACATGTTTCCAGAATTTCCCACATCGAGAGCAGCAGTAAGATTTGGTGTATTTCTTCAAATCTTTAATGTAGGAGAAATGGCGCTGGTAAAGGTTAAGGTAGAGGGTACTTGGATAGTGGCAAAGAGATCGATGGATCAGCTCAGCGGCAATCTCTGGCTTGGTATCATTGGGTTCATCGTCTTCATTTTCTTCTCCATCTTGTTTGGTGGGCTCCAATGCATATACAAAGATATTGACTTCAAAGAGGTGTTCTATGTCGGGTAGTTCTTTCAGTTTTACATCACAGAACTTCTTTTTCTCAGGAAAAAATTCTCTATATCGCTCATAGTAATGTTGTGCATCCCGCTCTAGATTCTTTTGGTGACAACCGTTGTGGAGTGCCAAAGCCCCAAAGAAGCACAAATTGTCGCTGTAGACTTTTCCATTGTTGTGGTCTCGATCTAAGGCTACTAAACCATGGTTCTCGGCAAGGTAAGCAGGTAAATCTGTACCACGACCAATGGGGTGACGTCTGATTTTTGTTATAAAGAAAGTGATATTGGTCACCTGTTGTACCACCCATTTGGAGTTGGGGCGACGTTGGCGTACCCATTCTAGGACATCGAGATTCTGCAATGCTTCACGGACATGTGGAAGATCGGCTGCGGTTGTGATTTGGAATGGCTCTTCAAATACTTGATCGTTGTTCCTAGAAGCGTAGTAATATTGTAATGCACCGGTCTCCTTGTTTCTCAGAAGGAAACCAAAGGAGACATTCAGCTTAAACATGGTGGACTGGTCGGTCCTGGTGCAGTATAACCTCTTGAGGTTGCGGGGAAGACAGACGATAGTTATACCAGTCCAGGAGCCGGTTTTGGCGGTTGAATCGAGTGCGGATTTGATGCCAGTGGCGACGGTATTCGAGAACAGAACTTTGTTGGACTTCAGGTAAGTCAGTCAAGGTTCTTGGATCTTCCTGCCAGCTGGAACTTGAAGTTGCTTTTTTCTCGATAGGATTAGGCTTCATTTTCTTGGGTTTTGGCTCTAAATGGGAAATAAAAATTCCAATGTCTATTCCCAAATCCGAACGAGATATCCAGAAACACAAAAGAGTTGTTTATACAATGTATTGTTTAACATACTCAAATTAGCATACGACTAATCCAATTTTTTTTTCACTCCATTGCTTTTACCTAACATTTGTGTAGGATTAACTCTCTGAACAAAAGTTTTGTTCCATCATGTCTAAAATATGATGTGCTAAGCCTCTGTACAAAGGCAAACCAAAGACTTGTTCGAAAATACTCTAGCCTCTATTGTTTTAACATCCCACGGCTAAAATTTGCATACGACTAATCCAATTGTTCCACTCCACTGCCTTCCCCTCAAATTTGCATACGGTACAGCTTTCAAAGAAAAGACATGTTCAAACATGCCATAGCCTCTATTGTGTTGCAAGAAGCAAGTAAAAAGTTACCTACGACTAATCCTTGACACAAAATATAATTTTATCTTACTGAAATACAACAGAAAAGTTCACTGCTTCCTACCTGTTTCCTCGTCCCTTGGACCTTCTTACTTAAAGAGGGTTTGGTATGAGCTGTTTGCTGGTGCGCTCGGAATGGAGCCAGATTGTAAAATGTCTCTCCACAGGTACTACACTTATACTCCCGCTGAGCCGCTCGGCGTTCGTGAACTTGTTTTTCGTGGCGTTTGAGATCTGCATTGCGAATAAATGACTTGTCGCACTTTTCACACTGGTGTTGTTTTTCGTTGGTATGTGTCTGTTCATGGCGTCTCAGGTTGTCCACACGAGTGAAAACTTTTTTACACGTCTCACATGCATGCCGAGCACTTTTGGCAGGAGGTATGTCTTCATCATCCTAAAACATCAAATGAATCGTATATTAACTACCTTGACAAGCGAGAGAAATAAAGTACTTACTAAAACACTTACCTGTGCTGCTCGTTTCCTACCCATGCCGCTCTGAACTTGGTTGGAAGAAGGTTCCTGAAAAAGTGTAATGGAATAATAATTTCAACAACAGAAATTGAATTAGTACGACGGACAATAGTTATGATATAACAATTCAATAAGGACTCATACCGTTTCAAATTCTTTCTCCCAATCGCTCCATGGGTCCATCACTTCAGGTGGAATAATGGAATCCACCAAGGGAATGTTGGAAGACTGATCCTGGAATGGAACTACATGTTACTAAAAGAAATTATCACTCAATGACATTCAAACGTTAACAACTTACCTCTTCAGGAAAGGTCATCTCCACCATCTGATCCAACATTTGATCACTTGGTATCTCGTTGCGCCAAATACAATTTTCAAACTCTTCCAACGTGGTGAACTGGTTAAAAGCCATGACTGCTACTGATCTGAATCTCACAGTTTGTGAATGATGTGTGTGGAATGTGAACGCACTTTTATGCCGTTCAAACAATAAAAATACGGCAACCAACCAGAATGCTTCGTCAAACGAGACAGCCAATGAGCGTCTTTCTAATTCCGGTCAACCAATCAAAACAACTATGACATCATAGTACCCCGGAATATATATGACATCATCTTCCAAAAATAACTAAAACCTGTCAAACCGGTTATACCAACCGTGACATCATCCATCTAAAAATAGCACATGACCTTATCTTTATGAGATACCACAGCATTTTATTCATGAGATCAAGACAATAACCTATGACGTCAGCGACGTTAATTTATTCCTCCGCACTCTAATGAGAATCCTCCGCAAAAAACCGGAGTAACCGGTGCGCCCTATACTACTTATAAGCCACTCAAAAATTGTCCATTCCTAAAGACTGCATACTTTCAATCACTGTTTTCCATGTGGCTATGGTTTTAACCCAAAGAAGAAGGGGTAGAAGACGGTGGAACGTGAACTTACTGTCCGCCATCTGGAATCTGGAATCCGGAATGCGGAATTCGCAACCCTTTTCCTTTGTTATTTGTGGAAAATCATTTCGCATTTACAATATAACATAACATGACATATCTTATATAACATAACATGACACATGTTATATAAGTATAACATAACATGACACATGTTATATAACATATTTAACAAATAGATTCCATGTTGCCGTGCGTCTGTTCAGTAATAGATCACAGATGACGTCAAAATGTCGTAAAAACAAATACGTGGCACACGAGCCGCAGGCGAGTGTTTCACTGTTGTTTTTACCACATTTTGACGTTCTCTGTGATCTATTACTGAAGAGACCCACGGCAACATGGAATCTATTTGTTTTATAAAATGATCAGAAAAGAAAAAGACCGATACACATACCTGCCTCGAACCGCTTGACCTTTTGAGGATTTGTGCTAGTTTAGGCATTTTTTAAGTCCCAAACCCAACTTTTCATCTTAGCTTCTTCTTTATCTTACTTGTGTACAGTTTCTTCGAAAAGTGTTTCACGGTCTTTTCTTGCTCAAAGAAGAATAATAGCGAAAACATTTTGCAAAACAGCGAGTCTCTCGTAGCGAAGACACACGATGGCAACTGTTGTGAAGATTTCTTGTAGTTTAGGCATTGTCAAGTAGCCAATAGCTTTTTTGGTCTCCGTTTCTCCATTTTTCTTCTTTGTAAATATTTCCTGCTAAAGTTTTTCCGAAGCTTTCACTTGCCTCAATCCGAAATAATCTCGCAAACATTTTCAAAACCGCGTGCCATGTTGAACAAAAACAAAGAAAACAAGTTTCCCGTGACGTCATTCATGTATCTGTACTCTAATAGATCATGGGCAACGACCAATCACAGCGCGCGTAGCATTCACATCATTGTATAACATGTTATATAACATAACATGACACATATCATGTTATATAACATAACATGTTCTGTTCTGTTCTGTTCTGTTAGAACATCAAGCCTGGCAGATATTCTGGCTCTTGTTTTTCTTTTAATACACTCACAGAATGTTAATTGAATTACTAGAGCACAAATAAACCCTATAACATAACATGACACATGTTATATAACATAACATGACATATGTTATATAACATAACATGACACACCAAAGCAAATAAAACGGAATTTTCACAATTCAATTGACATGAAATACCATTTAGGGGCCGGTTGCTTGAAGCCTGGTTAGCGCTAACCGTTGTTTAAGAGGTATCAAAATGTATAGGTTTCCATGCATTACGAGCCGCAAGGTCGATTTTCGTGCACGCACCAGGGATCCTTAATTTCCATGGAGATACCCACAAACTGGACTCAAGTAACTACAAGGCGTTAGTCTTGACACATTTCCTTGCGCACCTCAGGTGTTCACATTAATCGCTTTCTGTCAGTTCATCTGTTAATAAACTCATTTTAGGACAGGACACAAATTTGCGTCAAATATCAGAGCTTGTCTTCTGCGCGCCGAATTTATACCATCGGAGCGAGATATTTTAACTCAGCTATGGTTCTCGTCAAAATCACTTAATGAAAATACTTAAATTCATGGTTGGTGTTAAAAAAGGGTCTTGGTGCAACTCTTGGAAAAAAAAGAAATATTTTTTTCGTTTCTTAAGAGAAAGGCAAAATCTAGCGCTTTATGAAGGTCGAATTCGAACCCTCCAAAGTAATAATTATTCGGTACGTTACCTGGTAAGTTACATATTGTCGCCGAAATGGTTTCAAAAGTTCAACGTGAAGAGTTCTGGATGTTATTTCGCATTATGTCCGAAGGACAGAAACTGTGTTTGCCGATATAAGGTAAGAGAGACCTTTATTATTTAAAAGGTAGAGGAGCAGCTTGTTATGGCTCTCGCATGCGGAGTTCGAGCACATCGGTGAAGCCGGTTTGACGACACTGAGGAAAACAGAGGAAAATGTTTACTTGCCTTTGGTATTGTGTATATCCTCGATCACTATACAATAACACACAAATATTATAATTCAAAGGGCATTTACAACGCGCGCCAAAAGAGCCGTGATCCCGCCAAAATGCTCGAACCATCTAACAGAGTGTAAAAAGGGGGCTGGTAGGCAACACACGACTTTTGCCTCGTGCCAAAATGCTGCTTGTTCCAAAAATTGTTTTCTCTGGTGGGTATATTATATTCTGGGTTCTACTCTTTGAATGAGTAAATGTGAATTTTGCCGCTTGTGTCATACTGAGAGGTCATGACACGCATATTGATTTTCTGCGGTTATTGTTTCTGGTCG